ATTGCGACATAAAAACGGCCACTTTAATGACTTCGAAAATACGTCTGCACTTTCTGTCAGCAGCAAAGTGACCCTGGTGCCCCGAGGCTTCGGTCGGTGGCGATGTTTGGGTGTCGTGGGGGCTTGCTGCTGGGCACGGGCGGCTCTCGCCCCCTTTATCAAACCAGGAAAAAAAAAAAAACCCACCGGCCTCGGTTCCCGGACCGCATCCAGGCTCTGCGTCTTAAGGTGCTTCTTACACAAGACGTGGCTGGCTTCTCAAAGCAGAGCTGCGCTTTCTGCAGCTCGATGGGGAAAACTCCTCCACGAGAGCCGCACGATGGAGAAACGAGGAAGAGGAGAGACCGGTCGGTTAAACCATCGAATCATTTTAGCAAGCTTTGGAGGAGAAGGCTGAACGTAAATGACACTAAGCAACAGTCTTAGGATTTCAAAATGGGAAATAGGCCAAGGTGTTAATTATAAAGATGTCCCTTAAATTAAATACTGATATATTTTTCAAAGTCGATGTATAAGAGGCAGCTGGAGCAGAGTTGGGGTCAGGATCTTTCCGGAGGGGCAAGAAATAGGCTGCCCAAGTGGGGTCGCTTCGGGCAGTGCGGGCAGAGACATCCCGCGCGGGGACGCGGGGTGGGCATCTCTGGAAAGGGCCAGGGGGGAAATGGCGCGTGGGCGGAGCCGGCGCGGCCGTGGCCCCGGGCAAGATCCACACCTTTGGTATTTTCTGCTTTGCTACGCCGGGAAAGGGTCTTTGCGGTGGGTTTTGTGCCAGGAAACTTTCTGTGAGCGGGCTGAAGCAGCTGCCCGCCGTGAAGCGGCCTGCGGGCAGCGCGGCGGCTCCCTGCCTGGGAAGCAGTCGCCTGCATCGGCTCCTCAGCACTTCTCTTGCGCGGATGTGAACCGGCCGTTCCCTCCGGGTCCCTCTTCCGCGCCCGTGTCCTCCCGTGCCACCCTTCGGCAAAGCCATACCTCTTCACCGCCGCTGAAGTGGCCGGCGGGCACGCAGGGGGAGGGTGGGCCCCCCCCCCCGACGCGGCGG